TCCGAGTAATATGTTCTCAGATTATGAAAAGGAAAGTTAATTCTTATTGCAGAGTTATTATATTAGTAGATTTCTCTATGATTAATCTTATGTCTCTTGAAAATTAAATATCTACGTATATTATTGATATGCTTACTTGCTATGAGTTTACATCATTGATAAGCATTGTTGCTCTTGCAAAATAAATTTTAAAGATATATATATATATATTATGTATCCCATGGTTTATATATTTATTATTTTGGCACTAAGTTTACCATTTGCTACTGTTACGATTGAGAGAGTATTTTTTGTAATGAACATTAATCGGCTACGTAACAAAATGGATGATGTCTGACTCAATAATTGCCTAGTGTCATATATTGAGAAGCAAATATTTGACTCTGTTCCGAATGAAATCATTATACAACATTATCAAAAAATGCAAAGTATGATGCAAAGTTTATAATTTTCTTTTTTATTACATAAATTATAATGAAATACAAGGCTTTGTTTAAAATTTTGTTAATGAATATATATATATATATATTATATTTTTTATATATTGAGTTTGTCCACCACTCTAAAAATAAAAAAAATATATTTGCCTTCAAGGGACGGCAATGATCAATACAACTTAAAATTCTGTGCTTTGAAGGCAATTGTTGTGGTTGTTACCACTTATACTTATTGTTAGAGGGAACACTAGTCAATAACAACAATCATTATTTGTTAAAAAAAAATACTACATAAGTCCAAAGAAGTGGTTTGATGACCAGTCAAAATTTTATAATTTTATTGATTTTAATATCATTTCAATAATATGCCAATTCCTAAATTTATAAATTCAATTTTTTTATCTTATTTTGCCTTTTTTTTCAAATTTCTTCTTATCAAGATATAAGTAAAAACTAAATTATTTTTATTTTAAAAATTCCTCTATAGAGATAAATATTTCAACCAAACAATACATCAATGGAGAGTGTCTTTGTTTAAAATTGTTCGATTGATGAATGTTTTTAAAACAAAGATATATATTCTTCATATTAATATTTTATGATTTTTATGAGTGTGAATGTTGGTCTTCTGTTACGATATTCCCGTGGTATGGTGACCTTGATATGGAAGTAACAGCTCGATGTGTGATAATTAATGAGATTTATTTTATAGTTTGGTAATCATGATATGAGATATTTATACTTTTAGAACACTATCAAAATATTTACAATAGAAAAGGGATAATATATATTAAGTAGAGAGATATGTCGTTACTATATTTATAATTTCGTTGTTTTTTAATATGTATCATTAATTTATATCTGACATTTTTAAAATATCAAATTATTTTATTTACATAATAATATTATTTTTTAAAAGAAAAAATTTAATAAAATAAGAAAAGGATCGAATTGATGTCAAACTTTTCAGAATATTCAATATTTGATTTTAGAATATTAATTTGATAAGTTGATAATTTAAATATAGATCAAATTAATTATTTCATGAGATTATTAAAAAGTTGATAGACTAAAATGAAAATTTTAAATTATCTAGCTCAGCTTGATCCTCCGTAAATAATTAGGGGATTATTTTGATAACTAATTTAATTAAAATATAAAATAATATGATTAAATTATTACATATTTATAATATTTTTTATCGTAATTATATTTCTAAACATATAATAATTTAATCACAATTATTCACTAGTTTAATTCTATTAAAAATTAACATTTTATGTATAAAAAAAATGCGATAAAAAAAATCTCATTAATTTTCAGAACTATGTCATTAATAACAATATTAAAAAATAATATTATGCCATTTTTTTATCTAGCAATGAAATTAAAAATTTACTTTAGTTCATCATATAAACTTATTTAAGCATACAATTTCAGGGCATAAAAAGTCATTATGTATCGTGTTATTCGGATTTTTTTTTTCAAAATTAGTCGGCCTTATGTAAGAGGTAATTAAGAAAAAAAGCTAAGAGGTGATTATTGTAATAATATAAAATTCCAGTGTTTTAGTTGCAATTTGAAGGCTTTCATATTGGGAGGTTCTATGCTGACGTGGCTTACTGCCATTGGATATACAGGATTTTTATTCCTGTTACGATACGGTTGTTGGTTAGTAGGTCTCACGTGAAGTATATTGCAGTCTCCTAAATGTTGTTTTAAGGTCAATTCTGATTAGAGAAGAAGGGATAAAGATGGCTTATATATGAGAAAAAAATGTTAAGGGGCAACGAACTGATTAATGCAATCATGAAGAAATTAGCACTAACACATATAGTCTTATCTTGGCAACTTCAAATCTACTTTAGGCTCACTCAATTATATTTATCATTGACCATCCCCTCAAGGCCATACTCTCTCCAAATCATACCACTCTAACAAGTTGCTTAGGTGAGAAATTGAGCTAAGCAAGCTTCAAATATCCTACATTTTGAATGGCCATTAAAGTTCAAGCACTCATCAACTTCCTTGTATATTTCAATGGCCCTAATACAAAAAAGAAGGTTGCAAGTGATGAGTATAATGTGTGGATTCTATATGTGGATGGAGCATTGGGAGACTATAGAGTATGATCGAGCATGATCTTAAAAAGTTCAACATGGAACATATTAACACAAGCTATCCACATCAAATTTCAAGCCACTAATAACCAAGCAGAGCATGAAGTCATGATCACCATACTAAAATTTATTGTTAGAGTTTACACCAAGCATTTGATTTTGTATTCTCACTTGCGACTGATGTCTACAGAGGACATTAATAAATACAATTTTATTTCTCTTATGACAAATGTAAAACATAGAGGTGTGTGCTCCAAGGAGACAAAACCTTCTAAGAATATTTTTAGAAAACGAGTTGGTATGGTTCAATAATTGAAGAAAAGAGCATCCAAGAAGAAAGAAAGATTTGGAATATTGACTCTTAAAACAGCCATATAAATTAGTTGCTCAAAGAATATGTGCTTTTTTCCAAATAATTGGAGTAGATAATGTAAGTTTTATCAGATAATGTAAGTTTGATCGACATAATATCTTTATTCATCAACTCGTCCATTGTATTAAGTCAATGGTGCATAATTTACCAAAAAAATGAAGTTAAATTATTGTTATATCCCATAAATCATATGTGCTTGTGTTAGTTAACATATGAAATGTAATCATATCAGGAAAGGTAAGCTTTGCAAGCTATAAAATGGTCATTAACAAGCTAAGATACACTGTTACTTTTGAGAGAGATTAAAAAAAGTTTGAATAACATTTATGTACTTAGATGCCTCGAGGGACTGTATAATTGGATGAGTCCATATGCTATTTATATGATGCTCAACATTGCATTATTTGGCTGCCTAAAGCAGGTCATAGCCAGGCTATCCAACATGCCTATAATTGTTTTTTCATAGATCTAAGGCTCCCAAAAAAGGGAAAGGGTCAAGTTCCAATTAAGGCTTCGTTTGGAATAGTTTTAGACAACTATTTTTTTTTTATTGTTTTAAAGATATTTTTGTATTAAAAACAACATTACAAAACAATAAGAAAACATTCCCAAACAAGCCTAAAATGAAATGACTTCCTCCTCTATAACTTGTTAGTCACAAATTATAATAGTTTTCACAAATGAGATATATTTTTGTTTCGAGAATCCCAAATTTATCCATCTGAATTGAAAAGTCATGATAGGGTTAAAGTTATAAAGTCTTACAATCATTTTTGCTTTTCAAATGGTATTCATTACTTCTAGAGAATAGAGATCTAGATGTCCCTTGGATATAGGGAGGGATGTTGAACCAGCAAATGATGTGCAATTTATTTTTTCTAATTACTTACTATGATAAAGGAACTATGTGATCAAGTAAATGATATTCGTTACAACTCTTTCCGAAATAATAGTGGTTCTCAGTTATTCAAATGGTAGACTTAGGTCTCATTCGAGACGGCTTAATTTTGTCTTTTCTGTTTCAAAATGACAAAGTTATTTTTGGATTGTTGTTTGTATGTGACACTTCTGTAAAACTATTTTTTACGGAACTTTATTTTTGTACTATTTTCAAAAGTTTTGTAGTATTGACTTCTCCGTTAGAAACCTACATTCTCTCAAACAAAGTTTTAAAACTGACTTTTATAGAAGGTATCGAGTAACCAAACGAAGCCTTAGAATAAATGAGACAAAAAATTGGAGTTTCATGTTGATGACATTGTACATATTTGAAATGAGAGAAATAGTAATTTTTTATTTACTAGTATGCAACATGATTTATAACGGGTGCAAGTGCTAAGGAATAGTTGATAAGGAGCTTTCTTTCTAACAATAAATCCCTTATGAGTTATTTGATTTGCGGAAAAATAAATGCAAATGTAAAATGAAATTTCATTGTTTGTTTTGATGAAAAGAAATGCAATGTAAAATTTCAGCGAATAATTCATTTTTTGATGTTTTGTAAACTCGTTTAGTTTTAGCAGAATTATTTTCCACCGCAAGTCTCTTGTGTTGACATAGCTTACCACCACTGCTCGTCGCCGGTGCCCATTGCCAGCCACTAATCGTACCCATCGTTGACCATTACCTATCACCAACTACTGCAGTTGGACACCATTGTTGTTCATCTGCTGACATCGACATCTAATGCCTATATCCACCACCCGCATCTTCTATTATTGTAACCCCTCAATCATCTTTGTAGACCACCATCATTATTTTGCATTATGTTACATTCATTTTAATTTTTTACTTTGAAAAAAAAAAATCTTATACATTCATTTTACACTCATTCAAATAATTTTAAATATTTTAAATACACTAAATTTATTTTATATTGTATTATTTTAATATTTTTACTCTACATTTCTCTTTCAACAAATTAAATAGCCCTCTACTCAATATACATCATAATCGCTAATGCATAATTGCACTCCCTCCACAAAAAAATAAAATAAAACAAAAGATTAAGATGGAATAAGTGATTGCTGATGTCTGCACCTCACCTTCCTATAAAAAAGATTTAAAAACCTACCTATCGTTCCACTTAGAAGAAGAGAAGCCCCTTGCTACCAGCTATCGGAGCCTCCCTACCTCACTGGGAGTGCTATCTGTATAATTCCAAGTGATGCCAACCCTAAACCTAACTACCAACGTACCAGTGGACGCTGTGGTGGCCTCCGATGTGCTGAAGGATGCCACCAAAATCGTCGCCAAGACCATCGGAAAGCCAGAATCTGTAAGTTCTTTTCAAGTCCGCCCTTTTCCATGTCAGATGCCAAGTGTTCCGCGAAATCAATCAAAGAAACATTTTTGTTAATTCTTTTGTAATTTTCCTGCAGTGTCAATTTAGCAAAGCATTGTTTGGATTCAAGGAAATGCAATGAAATTGAAACAATTTTTGGTTTATTATGAATCTGCAACTATTGGTTTGAGCTTTTCAACTATTTCTTTCATTTGCTTTCAGTCAAATTCCCTGAATCCAAAAACAGTCTTGTTTAGACCTATTTTGAAATTCTTATCAAGTACTATGTTGGTAATGTCCCATTTATTTACTTGTCTAATGCCAGGTTCTGTGTTAGAGAAAATCACTCAAAGAAACTTTTTTTTGCTGATTCTTTAGTGATTTTCCTGCAGTGTCAATTTAGCTTTGTATGGATTGAAGTAAATGCAATAAAATTGAAATAATTTTTGGTTGATTATTTAAGTGCGGCCATTGGTTAGGTTTAGGTTTGGCATCTATGTAAAGTTTTCTCGAGAAGTCGAGATTACAAAATTTTTCATGGATAGATTTAGCATATACGTATGGTTCACTCATATAAATAATCTCCTCAAGATCTCCATGTAGAAAAGCTATCTAAACATCTTTCAACAACATAATTTTGAAAATATATTTCATAGTCTCAACAAGATGTGCATAAGGCATAGATAATGAATTCAAGATTATAATGGCATAATCATCACTGTCTATTATGATCCCATAATTTTTTAAATCTATGACAATCTTGTGAAATCATCTATGTTATCATGTATGATCTTCCCTTTAGACATCTTAAACCCAAACAATTTTTATTGTTATTAATCCTATTTTGCAAGTTCTTATATATATATATTAAAACTTTATCTTGATTCTTGTTGCATTCATTTCTTTGGCAACCTCATGAAGCATCTCATCGCTCATATTTAACTCCAAGTTACTATAAATCAGCTTAATCGTTTGGCCTTCTCAGCCGCTTCCAAATAACTAGTTAAGTTTTTTTCTCATACCAAGTATTGGTTGATTTGTTTCATCTTTTTCCATCAAATTGAAAATCTATCTTTTCATCAAACCTCTAAATATTAATTTGGAAACACCCATCCTAGATGAATCCCCTTAGCTATGATACCAATTTGTGAGGACCTTATTCATAATGTGAACAATAAACCCATTTTTATAGTGTGGAAACAAAACAATTTAATGCAAATAACAATGATGTCCTAGGGAACGATTGGTTGTGCCCAAAATACAACTAACATATAGATTTTGCAATCACAAATTAGACCAAAGCTTAAGCACAACTTGTTATTGTACAAAAGCCACAATTTCTCTCATAAACTTATTGTGCAAAGCTATAACTTTAGAGAAGATGAGAACAAATTTGATTTACAAAAATTTACTTTTTGCTAGAATATTGAATAAATTGTTGTTAAAAGAAAATTGTGCAAATTAAATGTGTCCACATCTTCTCTATAGTTAAAACTTTCTGTAATAAGTTTACCAATTTTGCTTAAGCTTTGGTCTAATGTGTGATTGAAAAATATATATATATATTTCATTTGTGTTTTAGGTTCAACCATTTGTTACTAAGAAACATCATTTGTTATCTACATTAAATTGTTTTGATTTGAGTACTGCCAAGAGGGCTTATTATGCATATTTTGAACTATATAATGACATAATGACAATATATAACTGCATGATAGGTGTTATACATATAGAAGTACATTATGAATAAAACATTTTTTTTTAACATTTTGAATAAAACATGAAATAAAAAATGACCGTATAATCAAGAGAATAAAAGCATATTTCCCCAAATTAGATACTTTCTTATTGAAAACTCTTTTCTTATACCATTTTATACATAATATGGCAGCACTCATTATGATTGAGAAATGATTTGAAATCCAAAACTTTAATAAAGATATTTGATACTTATTTAGGGCTGGACACATGAGGTGTAATGGTCTTGAAAATAAGAACTTGTATGAAATGACAATCAACTTCAATATGTTTAGTTCATTCATTAAAAATATAAATGGTAGCATGATTGTCACACTAGTTTCTTAAATTGAGTAAAAGGAAAATCAAAATCTCCTAAAAGAGTTTTTAACTCAATATAACACTTTGAGTGAGCCATAACTCTCCTCTACATTGGATCTGGCTACAGTATTTTGTTTTTAATCTTTCTGGTGACTACGTTACTTCAAGAAAATGCCCGATATCCCCAAGTAGATTTTGTCTTCAACAAAGCCAACATAATCTCAAAATAAGATAATGCTTAAATATTCAAGTGCTTGATCTTATTACATAAAATAATTTTCAAGAGACTTTTTTGATGTACTTGATAATTCTCAAAATAATTTCTTAGTGCTTGTATTTTGGATTTTGCATGCATTGATTAATGATTCCAAGAACAAATGAGATGTCAACTCTAATAGCAGTCAAATTAATCAGCATCCAACTAAACCTTCGATATTGAGGTTGTTCATCGCACAGCTCTTAATTATATGACATGATATGAGTTTCTGTGAGAGTATTAGTCAGCCTGCAACCAAGAAGACAAATTTCTTCAAGAAGATTAATAGTGAACTTGCTCTGAGATAGTGATATCCCATTTTTATTGTTAGCAAATTCAACTATATAAAAATACTTGGGCCGTTCTAAATCTTTGATGATGATAAAGCACTCTTATAGGTAGTGTTAGTGTTTTACCTTTAAGATGCCATTATGATCACTCCCATAGGCAAGTTGTCATCAACATAAACAACAATAATGATAGTGGTAGAAGTAGTATGCCAAACGAAAATAGAATGATCTGTGGTATTAATGTGAAGCCAATAGAATGATCTGTGGTATTAATGGTTTTTTTAATGCTATATATAGCCTTCCTAAGTCAATATGTCGCTCTCTTTGTGAGCAACATACTCAAGTGGGTATCCATGTAAACGACCTCCTAAAAATCCCCATAAATAAAGTTATCACTCACATCTATTTGTAATAAAGTCCAACTCTGATTGATGGAAATTAATAAGAGAATTCAGACATTATTAAGCTTTACAACTAGGGAGATCGGAGAATGTCTTAAAACAATCTATCTTATTGATCAAAGTGAATACTTTGGTAACCAAATGAGCTTTGTATCAATCGATAGAACCATCAAGATGCAATTTGATTATGAAGTCCTATTAACAAGCAATTGGTTTAACTCCGAAGGGGGGAGTTATCAAATCCTTCATACAGCAATTTAGTAAAGCATTCATGATGATCTCAGTAGTCTTCTTTAGAGAGTATTCTGTAGGGTGCTCCTATACATTCTAGGAATAAATATAGAAAAAAAAAGTGTATAGATGATTATTTGTCATAAACGAGTGAATAAGATGTATAATACATGGTCTTTTGCCTTTTCATCGGATAATTAATTAGTGGAGATCCAAGATATCATCAGTAGGTGGGTGCTCAATCGAATCTAATAATGTTGATGGATTTGTTGTCGTGAGAGGAAGTTAAGGCTGTCAAAAGTAAACTTATAATAGGATAGACATAGTAAGAGAAGTTTCTAAAGAAAGCGGAATGGGAGAGAGAAAAGAATGGCATAGTCTCATGAAAAGTAACTTTGGACAAAGTTTATAAAAGTTGGATAAGAAGATCATAACTTTGTTAAATTTTGAGTTCAAGAATATTCGATAAATATACATTAAATGACATAAGAAGAGAACTAGTCAAATGATCAATACACATGAATAAAGCAGATACAACAAAATTTTCAATATTGCAGAAAAAGAGTTTGGTTGGGATATAGAAGAAAGATGCTTGAAATGTTATCAATGGCAGCAAATAGAACCTGATTGATGAGATAATATGCAATTAATACACTTCTTCCCAAAATTATTGAGGAACATGCATATAAAACATTAAAGTTTCAACAACATCCGTATGGTATTTTTTTTTCACTCAACCACACTATTTTGTTGATATATATATGAGCAAGAGGATTGATGAATACTACCATGTTAGAGCAGGAAATGAAATTTAGCTTCTTGTTGGGTTCTGATCTTCTTGGCGTCACGCGCACAAGCGAAAAATTATTGAAACTTGGTAAGCCAAGAACACGATCTAGGTATTAATGTGAATAATGTATTTGTTTATTTATTTCTTTTTGGTTCTCATCTGGAGAAGGATTTCAGAGATTTTCCTATTTGTTTTATTTGCTTTACGAGGAGATTTGTGCATCTCCTTGTGGTGAGTTTTGGGTGCATTTGGATCGCAGAAAGAGTAGCTTCTTTTGAGCCACTGATTTTCTAAAACTGGTTGCCTTTTTGGTACAGGGTAGATTCCTTTTCTTCCTCTATGATCCAAGGTCTTCTGACCTAACGTTCGGTGATCCCAGGGATTAGTATAATCCTACTTAAAATTATTTTTTTAAATCAATAAGTATTTTTTATTGAAATCTATGGCTACAGCAACTTGCCTAGAAATTTTATGTGGCAAACAATTTCAAGATTTCTTACTTAAGCAAGTGTGCCAAAAATTCTTTTCCTATTGGATTAATTAAAAAAAGACATACAGACACTACTAACATTGAAGAAATGACATCAGTGTAACGACAAAAACAAACCGATTCTTTGTTAGTAGATTTCCTGTAAATATTGTTGGGATCATTAAAATGTTTGCACTCTTTTGTCTGTGGTCTAGTATGTGATGATTTTGCTCAACGGAGGACAACCCATCTCCTTTGCTGGAAGTGAAGAACCAGCGGCCTACGGGGAACTCATTTCCATTGGAGGTTTGGGTCCGAGTGTGAATGGGAAGCTAAGCTCAGCTCTCGCAGAACTTCTTCAAAATAAACTTTCAGTGGATGGTTCTAGGTTCTACATAAAGTTCTACGATGTTGAGGTAAGCTGATGATTATGGCTTTAAATTTAAGTCTCAATATTCTCCCATGGAGGTTGGTTTATTTCTTCCAGCTATTTTGGCTTGCATCTAAATGTAACTAAATGCTAAATGATTATCAAAGCGTCCTTCTGGTTTACCGTTTTGAGGAGCTATATTTTGTAGTTCATGTCTTTGATTAGTAGATATTCAATAGTTAGTATAACAGTTCTCCATCAAAATCTGATATCTTCGTATGGAACTTAATAAACTACATAACAAAGAAAGATGAAACAGAGTTCAACAGTTGTCTGATGTGAATGAAAACAGGTAATTCCTTGACGATAAGTGTAATGGTTGTGTCGTAGTTGTTTGAGCTGATGAAGAGTAGGGCATCGTGGTGAAGATTTGATATTTTGATTATTGAGGAAACAAGATTCTGATGTAGAGATAGAACTAAGTGATAAAGTAAAAAATGGAATTGAGAAAATTAGAAAATTGAAAACCATGGGGTATCACAGCGTGGGACCCACTCATCTGCCTTCTACCTGCATCTGCTCAAATTTTCATGGGTCCCACTATGCAAACAATCCATATGCCCCTCTCCCTTAAACTAGCTGTCAATCCCTTCTTTTTTAGATTATTTATTTATGTTGTATAAATTACATTTATTTTTTTATATATATAATATCCTTGGAGAGGCCTATACATACCTCTAATTAGTGGTGTCAAAATCAGGTTGCGGGTGGTCAAACCTTATATTGACCCGCTACTATTTGACCTGATCCGTTTTTGTAGTCAGGTCATAAATTTCAACACGGTCCGAACCCGTCGGGTTTCTGGGTTAACCCTACTCGACACAAGACCACGATGCGAGTCTGCGAGATTTGGCTGAAGAAGCACACGCATGGGAGAAAATGGTTACCTTCGTAACGAGCGAGCCCCTTCCCGTCGTCGTCGTTACTTTCAATCCAACAAAAAAAACGGCTAACTGTCGTGACTTCCGACCCGACTCGTGACTTTCGACCCGTCAGGAAGGAACGTCGTTGAAGGAGGCGTAGAAGTCTTTTATTGGTTACCTTTGCAACGAGCAAGCTTCCTAGTACCTCCCATCATCATCGTTACTTCTGATCCAACAAAAGATCAGCGAGCTATCGTGACTTCCAACCCAACAGGAAGGAACGTTGTCGAAGGAGGCAAAGAAGTCTTTTATGAATTTTAGCGACTCGTTCAAAACTTTACCTCACGCGCAAAGCTTGCAAAGTTGACTAGGTACGAATGACGAGCGAAGAGGAAAATTAAACCCTATGCCTGTGGGACTACGCCTGCGTGAGTGTAGGTGGACTGGCGGAGGCGTGGGTCTGTGCCTGTGTGGGGGAATCGGGTCAGATCCGGGTCAACATCAGGTTAGCGGGTTGACCCGAACCTGATTCAATTTTTCAAAATGGTCAAAGTTTGGAACTCAAACTCGACCTGTTTGCAAAACGGTTTGACCATAACCCAAAATTTTCTGGCCGGATTTTTGGATCGTGTCAAATACTGACACCCCTACCTCCGATCTATGTATTGAAAGTAAGCAATGAAATTCAAAATAAAATTTTCCATATTTCTACTTTACTATATGTTATCAGAGCAAGATTAGGGTTTCTTTATTTCATCTTCTTTTTTTTCTTGATCTTTATTGTTGGGATTTTGCATTCTCTTCGTTATGGCTGGTTTCTTTGACTTCCCTTCTAATGAGACAACTATATAAATGATAAAAATCAAACTAAGAGAGAACTCCGGGGTGTAGCCTCATATCATCTGAATGGAAGAAATTATCTTAAGTTATCCCAAATTGTGAAGACCTTTGTGAATGGAAAGGGAATGATCGATCATCTTGTGGATCTTCCTCCATAGCCAATGAATATAAAATTTGTACTTTGGGTTGATTCATGATCATGACTTAATTGTTGAATATCATGATAACTGAAATAATTGTGTTGTATATATTCCAGTCACCCACAAAAGAAATTCGAGACTTCATCAAACAAACATATTCAAATATAAAGGATAATGCTCTTAACTATGAAATTAAAACTAAGATCTCAATAATCAAGCAAGATAGCATTCCTGTTATTGAATATTTTAATATAATGAAGGCTTATTGGCTTGAATTAGATCACTACCAAAACTCAAGATAGTGTGTTGCGATGATCAGTAATTCTCAAATAATTTGTAGAAAGAGAAATGGTGTCTCTAAGTTCCTTACAGGATTTAATAATGACTTCAATCAAGTTTGTGTCTAAATCTCAAACAAAGAAAATCTTCCATCTCTAAATGAGATTTTCTCTGTTATACGAACCAAAGAATGAAGAAGGACAATAATGCTTGACACTCCAATCTTTGAAGCACTTCCTATGGCTACCATTGAACCCTTAAGGGACTTGTTGCTAACAAATTCTTCCTCTAAAGAATGACAAAAGCCTTCTTCCAAAGGCAATCTATGATATAAAAAATAATACATCAAAGAAAAGGGCTAGAAACTCTATAGAAAGACCCAAGACTATATTGGAAACAAAATGTTACACCAAAAAGGGAAAGCCTATCATGTTGAATAAAAAAAGCTCAATGCTCTAAAAAAATCATCAATATCATACTCTCTAGCTCAAAAGAATATGACCTCTAATTCATGTGTTTCTAATTTATTAGATAATTCTCTCTAAAATTGAATTTGAGATTCAAGTGCCACTGACCACATAACAAATCTTGCTATTATCTTTCAAACCTAAAACAATGCCCAAGTAATATGAAAATAAAAGTGTTTGATGGCTCCCTAACAATTGTTGTAGGTCAATGAAATATTCCATACTCCCCTACATTTACTCTAAGTAATGTATTACATATTTCTCATATTGTTGTAAATCTTTTACCACTCCATAAAATCACCAAAGACCATAATTTCAAGTTTTTTTTAATTCTTGTGTATTTTAAGACTTCACTACAGGGAAAGCGATTAGGCAAGCTAGAAAGAATGATAGGCTATATCTACAAAAATTTCTTTGCATTGTCCTTCATTTTCAATAATTATACCCAAATTATTTGGGCTCATCATTATAGAATAGGGCATTCGTCCCTCGGAACTCTACAATATATGGCTCCTTCCTTCTTAGGACTGCAACATTGAAATTTTTTATTGTGAGATTTATAAAATTATAAAACTTCATCATATTATTTTTTTTAAAGTGATTCTATATATTCCACTGTCTTTATGTTAGTTTATTCTAATATTTGGAGAACCTCTAAAATTCCCAACATTTCTTAAGCTACATAATTTTTCACTTTTGTTGATGATTGCACTCGAATGATATTGGTATATCTCATAAAAAATAATAATCTTATGTTAGGATTATGTTAGACCGGGTTTCTCCTGTACCGGTCTTGCTGATCCTTTCTTGGACTTGCTCTTGGGGGCTGTTTTTGAGTGGATTAATTATGAAATATTTTCTAATTGAAAAGGACAATTTTTTTTTTTTTTTTGGGGGGGGGGGGGATTTGGGGCCTAATTTGGAGGGGATTAATTATGAAATATTTCCTAATTGAAGAGGGCAAATTTAGGGGCTGATTTGGGAGGGAAATAATTAAGGAAATATGATAGATTTGAGAGGGAATTGAAGGGGGGTTGTTTGGGTATTTGCTCTTTATTGTATGTTCTAAGTAGGGTGTTTGTCATAGGGTTAGGGTTATTTATTGTTTGTTGAATTTAGATTGTACTTAGGTTGATTGGGTTTTAGACGGCTGTGAAACCCCTTTAGTAAAAGAAGTTAAACTCTTAAACATCGAGACGTCTTTTGGTGTAATGGTTGGAATTTCATTTAAGATACTCCATAGTTAAGCCGTCTCATCCCGGAGAAATCTTGGGATGGGTGACATTCTGGGAAGTTATATCAACAGGACAACACTGTGAGGCCTTTAGGCCAAAGCGGATAATATCCGGATAATTAAGAGTTTGAGCTATTACACATGGTATCAGAACAATACACTAGCCATAAGATGAGAACTAAGTATCATATAAAGACAAAGTGCTATGCCATGGGAGCCACCTCTTGAACCTTATATGGGACAAAGTGCTACGTGACGGGAGTAACCACTTGAACTTGTAAGGGCCGCCTTTAAAATCTTATTTGAATGATGAATGATTATGGGATAAGGATGCTGACGAGTAGACATGTCAATTTCAGGCACTGGTCGGGTTCGGGTCGAACCCTGAACTGACTCGGCACTATTCGGGTTCAGATCAACCCGACACGTTTTTACAAACAGGTCGATTTTTCGGACACGCACCCGACCCGCTTCGGGTTCGGGTCAACCCGACCTGACCCAACCCGCTTCGGTTCAATTTTTCGAGCGGAGAAATCCTAGGATGGGTGACCTCCTGGGAAGTTACACCAACAGGAAAAACCGTGAGGCCCTTCGGCCAAAGTGGACAATATCTCGATAGTCAAGAATTTGGATTATTACATTGACAGCTAAGGAATTGAGAGAGTCGGATCTTCCTCTTCAATTTAAGATCCATTGTATCTTGTTTGTTTTCTTCACATATCATGTAATCAAAAGAGTTTTTCCTATATTTTTTCCTAGTTTTGTATCACCGTTCGCTAATTTTGTTAAAATCATCTACTTCCTATCAAATTGGTATCAAAGCGGTGTCCTAAGTTGAAATTGAGGCATTTCCTTGCTAATTTTGCTTTGATTTCCTCTTCAAATTACTGATTTCTGCTGTTTGAAGACCAGATCTGTTTTTTGGAACCTAGATCCAGGTACGGAGGTACCCATTGAAGGAAGAAGGGTAGAGGTGTTGGAGGTGGAGATTTTGGGGGAGAAGAAAAAATGTCTCCTCTAGAGCCTATTCATAGGAGTCTGGTAGAGGGTATGAGGAGAGGCGTGAGGAGATTAGGCATGAATGAAGGGGTACTGAATTTGAGAGGAGGGATAGAATTTGAAAGAAAAGGAGCTGATTGTGACCCGAGGGATGTTGAATTTAAAAGGAGAGCTGAATTGAATGGAGAATGGCTGATTTGAGATCAAATAGTTGTGAAAATTTAAATACTTTTTTGATATAAAAGTAGTTCAATCAGAATAAAGACTATTTTTCTCTTAATAAAAATTTCATTAATCTATTAAAAGAAATAAGAATGATTGATTGTAAGTCTTGTGATACCCCAATGGAATCAGGTCAAAAGTTTAAACAGATTGAAAAAGAGTTAAAAGTAGACATAGTAAAATATCAAATATTAGTTTAAAAACTAATCTATCTATCTTACGCACATCTAAACATTATTTTTTTAGTAAGTCTCATTAGATAATTAATGCACAAGCCCAAAGGGTCTCACATTCAAGCAGCTCATATGATCCTCAGATGTCCTATATCAAGTCCAACAAATGAATTATCAATAAAATGTAGGTTACTCTACAAATTAAAGGTTATACTGATTCACACTATCCAACAAGCAATTAGTTGTTTTAAAATCTAGCATTGAATCTTAATTTAAAGTAATTGCTAAAAAAATCTACAAACTATTGTAAATCAAAATTATGTTGGAAGATTTAATAATTAAATGGGAAGAGTAATGAATATATACTATGATAATAACTATGTTATCAACATTGCTCATAACCCATTACAACTTGATCATATCAAGCATGTAGAGGTATATAGACATCTTATAAAAAAAATGATAATTGTGTTGATTTGCATGCATATGTACTAACCAGATCAAATTGCTGATATATTTACCAAAGGACTATGCAACCCCACCTTTAAGAATATTCTAAGCAAATTTGGTATGGTAGATTTACACCATCCAAATTGAGGGAGAGTGTTTAAGATTTTATGTCTCGGGTCGTGGGACCCACTCTTTCACCTCCTTGCATCCACCCATTTTTTTTTTCCGAAGAGAAGTGGTGGATCTCACTATACGGTCAATCATAGAATGATTTATTGAGCACACGGATTGAGGAGCTTATCCATTGGATTGCAATCCATGTGCTTCGCCCTTCACTTAGCTGCCAGCCCCCTTCTTTTTTGGATTATTTATTTATTTATTTTTTAATTTTGTTTACCTTTTTTCATATGTAATATTCGTGGAGAAGCCTATAAATACCTCTAATTTGTGTACACAATATAATCAATAAATTTTAAAGTAGTTTTTCATTTTTTTTACTTTTCTACCGAATGTCTTTGGCAAAAAGAGGCAAGAGGAAGAGAAAAAGATAGCATGAAGAAACCAATCAATCTATCATTATGAGAACGGAGGAATTAATACCTAGGGAGCAGGCCATTTTATCCGAATGGTTACGCCAATCAGAAGGTCATATGTGTCGTAAAGAACATTCAGTTATATGATAAAAATATGGTTAATCATTTTGATTTCACAAAATAGGAAGTAAACTAAACCAACAGGAGGAGCCTGATGTTGGGGAAGCTAATAGGCCAGAAGCTACAAAAGTAGAAGAAATTATCAATCATATATCAGGAAAGAAAAAAAAGAACCAACTAATCAGGCTTAATTTGATGATAGCAATGCTTTGCTGGCCCAAATTTTTAACGCCAAGTCAACAGATAATCAATCACTAGGCAATGCTCTATGCACTTGTCCATTTTACTATTAGTTGTATTAGTTATATGTTGATTTGATTTTGAAATTTTGGGTGTAAAGCAAGCCTCATTTCACATTGAGTCAGATTGGTAGCTAACACAATTAACGTAAAACTGATCCAAGCATTTTCGCTTTGTACTCTATTCCTGAATAACTCCTATTTCTCTTTCGCTAATGATGCATCCTACTTTCCTACTTGTCATACTGTTCTTACCACAAATATAGAACATATTGATGACAAACCACGCTCTGATTGAAAACGACCATGAGATTGGAGCCTGCTTAGTTCCTATTTCCTTTGTTCCCTGATGTATGATGGGCAGAAGATGTTGTACTGTTGATACTATAGATTCCAACCACACTTATCTGAAAAATATATTTGAAAACTAAAGTAGTTCATCAGCATAGCAGCTCCTCATCAGGGGTGTCAATATTTGACACAAACTGAAAATCCGATCCGGAACCGACCCGAAAATTTCGGGTTAGGGTCAACCCGTTTGAGAAATAGGTCGGGTTCGGGTTGACCCGGAAACCTAGGAATGACTAGGATTGACCCGCGCTGACCGCGTATGCCCCCGTCACGTCTGCCTGCGTCGCCGTCGCATCGACTCACGTGTCTCTTAGCGTGTGTCACATCCCGATGATGAGTGACGACGCTGCTGCCGCTATCAACGTTGCTGTGTTCGCGGGTTGGGTCGTGTCAACCCAGTAACCCATGCAGGTCGGATCCGGGTTGAAATACATGACTTGTTTGTAAAAATGGGTCGGGTTCATGTCGTGTCAACTAGTGTCATGTCAGTTCCGAGTTAGACCCGAACCTGACCCGTGACCCAATTTTGATAGTCCTCACCACCAGATAACAACTGTTTCTTCAATGTTAGAATTCTTATTTTCCCTCTTTCCTTGAACAGTTTCATGATTCCCACAATCAAAATTTGAGGAAGATAAATAAGAGTATTTGAGTTTAGGAATAATTTTATATTTCCTCTACTTCTTTCCTACATATACATAAATCTTATTACAAAAATGTTAACGCTTTTCATTATATTATACTTTCTTTATATACATTGTTACAACAAATTCCTTACAGAAAATTTGCTCTTATGCCTCTGAACGTTTCCTACAAATATATAACTCGTTTTTGCTACTCAGAGATCCAATTTTGGGTTCAATGGGTCGACCTTCTAAAAGATGTGAAGACACCTAAAGGGAGAGGAGGCCAAGGGTGAAAACCTTGCTTAGTCATCAATTCGGTGTTCAATATTCTGTATGGTTCTCTTCTTCCTTCTGAAGCTCTGGTAATCAATTCATTGTAATCTCAATTGCTTGCATTACTATGATCTGGAACCTGCATGCCAGATTACATTCAGATTTCTCTTTCTGGCTTCTGTTCACTGTGCTTATATATTGACTCAGTAATACAAAAGTGGTTAGGTTTGTGAATTGGGTTAGTCTGTACCATGACCACATGAGTTTGATCTCCTTAAAGCTCAAATTAGTTGGCATAGTGAGCACAAACTAAGACTTTGTTTTGGGCGGCTTTCTTACTGCTTCTCAATGTAACTTTCTAGTTCAAAAAATAAAAATTTAGTACCAAAAAACTGTTTTACGAAGCAGTAAGAGAGTTGTCCCAAACGAAGCCTTATTAAATGAGAATTTGACTCTTAGTATGACACAATGGAGAAAAATGATTAATGTAGTCGACCCCTCTTAGTGAGATTTTTTTTTTTTTTTTTTGCTATTGTTATTGTAATGAGCACAAACTTAAATGGACTAGCCCAAGCTGGCTTAGACAGTGATGGAATCAAAGAATAGTTGAGGGTAACATTTGCCTCCTTTAGATTTAAATATTTTATAATTTTGTATAGTATACAATTATGTTTATAAACTTTCTCATAGTTACACAAAGTATGAATGAATGAATTTTTTGTAACCTCATTTAAATTTGAAGTTAGAGTAAGTTATTTCGCCCACGCAGCCTCACTTACTATAAATTTAAGTTTGGCACTAGATTGTGTTAGTCTATGTACTTGTTTATTGTTTAAAAAATCCAATGTGACCTCCATCAATCATTTCAATTTATAAGAATGTTTAGATGAGATGTTCCAATGTGGCGAGGGATGGAGGTCGTGGAGATGATCGGCATTGCATGCAGTGCTCATGACCGGATCGTCCAGAGATGAATCAGGATGTGCCACGTCACTGGAAACACAACAGTATATGAACTGCGTTCGATGACCACATGTAATAATTTTTATGATGAAAGACTCAGATATGGTGCCCCTAGAGGCCACATGATGACCTTGCAAAGCTAGGTAATCTTAATTTAAATGATTTTATTATCCCAAAAATGTTGCCTAAAAGAGCATAATGAAAAAATAAAACCTAATTTGCAAAAGTATGACCATGCATTTTATTTATTTATTTATTTTAAATCTCCTTTGGCATCACATACAAGCACTAAATATTCTTTTGTGTTTATTGCAGAACAGACTTTAGATGCCCTAAAATGAGCAAGGGAGTATTTTCTTTCGATATTCTCCTTCAATCGAAATATAAATAAATTCAACTATTAATTATAGATGATACGTCATCAAAAAATTATCTTGATCAGACACGAATCTTGAGGCAAAATTAAATTGGAAGCTTCAAAAATTAAAATTGAGACCATCCGAACATTAATTTATGCAAGCTTACAGTCGAACTGAGCGTCTTGGAAACACGAATTCAATGACACCAAAATCGACCCACCCAATCCGAGGCCAAATGAGTCCAAATCAAAGACTCGAATCACTTTTGGAAGGTTCAAATCATACTTTGTGTTACCAAACGGTCTTCAATCGTAACATGCTTATAATCGAATCGAGCGGCTCGACGACATGAATCCAACAAGCCCAAGGTCATCAAATTTTGATATCATTAAGACAATTAAAGGTCCATTGAACGGTGCATGATCGTAAGAATCAAGATCAGTTGTCCATCCGAACCACTCTTAATTTACCCTTGATCTTCTACTTATTTGTAAGTCATGTCACTCAAGAATTCTATAAATAGAATCTCATTTCCTCTTGAAAAAAGGGGGGAAGCCAAGAGAGAAGAAGGAAGAAAGCTCAAGCCACCTAGCTCCTCTTTGATCACCACCGGAGTTTTGTTGCACCACCGTCATACCACCAAGGGACGACGGAATTATGTCGCACCATCGCTGGACTACTAAGGGACATCAGAGTTCTGTCGAATCTCCACCAGACCATCAAAGGACGTTGAAGTGCCACCCGAAACCAGAGTTTCTCCTGACGCTAAAGTGCCACTACCAGACCACCGCCTGACACCGGAGTGCTGCCTGACCACCACCTTACGTTGGAGTGACATCGGACTTTTGCAAAACTTTCAGTTGACATTTGTAATATGGACATCTTCAAGGATGAGTCAGGTCATTATATTTTGCTCAAATTCTAGTTGAATCATTTTCAATAAGGCTATGACTTGTTGTTTTTTCTCTTTCTCGGGTTTTCCTCGTAAAAAAGTATTATATTCTATATGTGTGAGCTAGATATCTGTGCAATACTAAGACATAAAATTATAACTCTATCGTCGTGTATATTCTAGCCCGCAACAATAGAAATACTCCTAAATTTCTCTCACAAATGAGACCACCATCTTGTAAAAATAAAGAACATCTTTACTATTTAACAATTGATTAATAGTTAAGAAACAAACGAAGTATAAAAGGTTAGAAACATACAAAGTAAAAATAATAAATTGCTGTCAGATTAAAGGTCGGTTTAGTACGACTATGGTTTTATTTGAGACAGCTTTCATATGCTTTTTAAAGCAAATTTTTTATACTAAAAAGCTGCTTTAAGAAGCAGTAGTAAAGTCATCCCAAATAAAGCCTATAACACTTTTTTTAGTTGGTTATTATTTGTTGTAGAGAAAATAAATTCAATATTATGATCGTACAAATTAACTTTTTATCAAAAATAAAATTTGAAAAGTAATGAAAAAAATAAAAAATAACAAGAAATCAATAACCAAATGAAGTAGCCAAAAAGCTGTCTCAAAGGGATCCTAAATTGAAAAAATAACTGGATTTAAAAGGTCCAAAATTGTGCCATCTCAAGTTACACAGCCAGAAAAGCTCTCATATGAAAACTGAAAATTTGGTCCAAAATCTCAATAAACAAATATATTGGTAACAGCCAATGACTTGAAACAGAACAAGAGTTTTTAGAACGGAAATGAATTAAAAATAAAAATAAAAATAATAATAATACTTAAGCAACCTAGCTAAGCAACTAAGTATTTAGAACAGAGATGTTCCCTTCCCCTTCTTGTCTCCACCTATCTCGAAGTGCTTGCATCTCTGAAAATAACCAGTGGATGATTCTTAAAACCATCAAAAAAATACAAAAAATAAGCAAAGAATTCATTCAAAATCTGTACAATACCTTGATAGCATGCTGAGAGAAGTGTTTGCAGCTCTGGCATTGCAGCTTTAGAACAATTTTCTTTGTAGTTTTGGCCTGCCCAGAAAGGTTCTCACGGTGAGTACTTTATTTTTGGCAAGCCCAAATCTTATATATTTATAAAATCACAAGCCTCTTACCTGCATTCATCAAATTTGTTACCCAAATATTAAAGTTACCAATAAAACTACGAAATTTGATTCTAAATATTTCCTCAAAATCTCAGTAATTTGATTGTAGCAAGTGCAAATGTCCAAATTTAGAGTCACCTTAGATGGTTTGGCACATAAAACGGCGGCCTTCCGATGACCAGGTTAGGAGAGTAGACGTATTAGATTTAACGTATATTAAGAAAGGTAAGGGTAGACCTAAAAAGGCTTGGTTAGAAAATATTAGAAATGACCTTTTTTTATTAGATCTAAATGAGAGCTCTTAACAGGACATAATGGAGATAAATGATTCATATAACCAACCCCACATTATGGAAAAAAATGATTCATATAGCCGACCCCACATAGTGGGATAAAGGCTCAATGTTGTTGTTTTTTAGGTGCAAATGTCCAAATTTAATAATTTTTTGTGTTAATTCATAAATAGGCGTGATTTCAATTAAATAATGCACCCTTCAATTTTTTTCGCTAAACTACTAGATGTCATCAGAGTAGCATTGCAGCGTGAATATTTACTGCTTTTTATATAGCGAAGAGAAGGCTCTAGAGATAAAAACCTTTTTGTGGAAAACTGGCTTAGTCTGTCCACCATAACCAGATTGCTTGCGATCATAACGGCGTTTTCCTTGAGCAGAGAGACTGTCTTTACCCTTTTTGTATTGGGTAACTTTGTGCAAAGTGTGCTTCCTGCACTGCTTGTGCTTGCAGTAAGTTTTCTTTGTTTTTGGGACGTTTACCTGTAAATCAAAAGTAGTCATCTCAAGTTTAACAAAGTTCTTTTTATTAATGTGACTCTCTTTTAAATAACAAGCAAAAAGAACAACATCAACAAACAACTAAAATTATGGACTTTTACATTGGAGGAGACTCATCTTCACAAGATAAGTAAACTAAAAGAGTCAATAAATGTAACAAGTAAAAATGAAAGCAATAGATAAGGGTTAAAGGGTGTAGGAGGAATTATGCTGCAACTTATAGTAAGACCATCACCAACCGAATTGCATACGGTGGTATGCTGTCTGCCATTCGCTTCATTTGAATGCTAAATCGCACATCAAAATTCGGTAGGCGAATAGTGCGACGTCAATCACCTACGCCAATTTCTTGTGTTACAGGATTTGTAGAAGAAGCACAAGAAGCGCGCGAAAGAGGAGAAAAATAGTTACCTTCACAGGGAGATGAAGAAGCATGAAGAAACATGCGAAAGAGGAGAAAAAATTGGAGTTTGATTGGTGACTAATTATTGCATTTTGGAGTGGAAAATGGGTTTTCCGATTGGAGATGCCCGCATGGACAAGAACCTATGCATTTTCACCGGGTGTTAACAGAAACTAACTAAACATATTAATCACTCAAGTCTCTAAAAGAATACTAATTGTTGAACCAAAATAGAAGAAATTTGATGAGGATATCCTCAACTTCAATTATAGTCAAAACAAATACTATACATATTCCTAATTCTAAGAACAAAAATCACATTCCCTGCATGCAAGCGGAAACTAACTAAACATGTCAATCACTCGAGTCTCTAAAATAATACTAACTGTTGATTCAACATAAAAGAAATTTAATAACAAGATCCGCTGCTTCAATTACACTCAAAATCATATCAGTCACCTAAAACGAGAATCACAAGCAGACCCACTATAGATGATTGCCCAAAAACATCCATTGAACATATAGCTAAACATCATATTTTTGCTCTTCACTAAAGTATGAAGTCTAATGAACTATGTGAACTGTCTTTTAGAAAGTAAGAATAAAGTATAATCATAAGGTGAACATAACTTACGCAATAGCAAGATTGTGGCCTCAAATCTCAATAAAAAAAGCCAAAGGTCCGTTTCACAATTTATCTACATTTTCTCCCTCAAGAACCGGCTAGTAGAAACCTCTAAATCTTAATCATAATCAATCGGGCATATACATGATCTAATCAAAATGTTAACTTCGCCCAAATAGCAAAGACCAGATCATCGAATAAACATAAATTATGAATTTCTCACAACAACTCAAAAGATATGAACAAAAAAATATGCGCCGAATCATTTAAAGTTTGCACAATTATACGCGTTTAAAAAGAGAAACGGCAATGATGTAAGTAATTCTCAATACTAGCGATAATTAGACAAGCCAGGATTGAAAGGGAAGAGATGAGCATTACCATGGTTGCAGATCGAAGACGACTGCTACAGGTTTATTTTCGTACCTCCTCTCTTTCTCCCGACAAAACCCTAGTGAAACGGTTTAAGGAGCTTTCTGCGCGTATAATGCCGGTAGACGGAGGATTCTAGGGTTACAGTAGTAAGAAGTAAGTAAATTCCTGTTTCACCCTTATGGACTCGACGGTAAGGATCGTCTTGATGGGGCAAAATTTTAATTAGAACTATGAATTAATTTAAATTAAATAAACAAAGCGTGATTTCAATTAAATTTAAAACGAATAATTTTATTAAATTAATCGTAATTTTATAGAAAATGTGAAATAACTTTTCTTTAATAAAAATAAAAAAAATCATTTTGGGCTTTCTTGAAAATGATTTTGGGTTTTAAGTTAGAATGATCTTTTATTTTTTTTAAAGAAAATTATAATCAATTCTTGGCTTTCTCGAGAAAACTTAAAATAGCCATGTTAGTGAAACATATTTGGAATTGATTGAACTTATTAATTTAAAAATAAATTTAAATTTAAATTAATTATACTTAATTAAATACATAATATATAATATCTTATAAGTAAATATTACTTTACAGAATTATACCAAACATATTATTATAAAAAAATAACAAAAAAGTTATACATATCAAAAGCAAAATCATTTTGTTTTTCTTATAGAAAACTCAAAAATGATTTTGAATTTTATCAAGAAAACCAGAAATGTTTTTTTAGTTTTCTGTAAAGATGCAAAGTGATTTGATAAATTTGCTCTTTTTTTAATTTAATTTAAATTATGCTTCTTTTGCTTAATTTAATCTAATTATCCTCCTAATTAAAACTTTACCTCTTGATGGACATTCAAAATAATAATTATTATTATTATTATTATAATTGTTGTGTCCAGGAATATTCACGATGATAGAGAGAAATGAAGTTTAGCGTCTTAGCATTGTACGAAGATCCAGCACGCAAGCAGAAAGAGATAGATCAAAACACCCGTTCTTTTTTATGTGGAAAACCCGAAGAGGGAAAAACCACGGGGCCTCGTCCAGGTGAAAAGATTCTACTAAACTTGAGTGAATTACAAGGGTTGACCCGTCCCTCAA